TTGAAAAAAAATACTGACAATAATAAAAAAATTTATAGTCGTAATCTTTTTTTTTCGCTTTTTTTTTCAAAACGAGCAAATTAGAGAGTATTTTAAATCTACTTAATCATTAATACGTCTTAACTATATAACGTAAATATCTATCATTTGTTCTGTCCGGAAAAAGTGATTTTTTTTTTCTCCTCAAAGAGAAATATTGTTTTCAGATTAGTTCAGTTCTTTTCATTTAAAATTGGGAAATATACACATTGGAAAGCTGAAATACGGACAAAGAAATATACTTGGATAGATTTAAAAATCTGTTTCAATTTCAAAGTTTATTTGAACTTATCAGTAATTTGAAAAGATAAATTAACTAAAATATTAATGTAATTATTTTGTGTTTTTATAAAATAATCTTAGCCAATGATAAAACTGATTGATCAATGTGTTAATGTAACTGAAATAAATTTAACTCAATTGCTTTATTTATGTTCGAATTAATTTCGATCAAACTAGTTCATTTGAACAGAACTAACATTATTATCCTCCAACTTGATTCGTTAGACTATTTTGTAAGGATAAATAATTTAGCAAAAAAAAAAGCACGCATTTTTTATAAATCAACCGTTGTTTTTTTCTTTTGAACAGTACTTTTCGAACAGATCACTGGAAAAGCCACTGAACAAATATGAATTGAAGTTTCCCTTAATTTTTTAATTTATTTCCAACAAATTCTTTAATTTCTGGTTTGCAAACATAACAAATTTATCAATTAATTCTTTCAAAAACGTCCTTTATAAGCAGAATGGAAGTTCTACAAATTAATATTAATGGGAAAGTTTAATTAGAAATAATGAAAAACTGTTTTGAGAAAGATAAAAGAGAAATATTTTCAAAATATTAAAAAAAAAAAAAAAAAAAAGAAAATGATTCCATTTTCTTGATAAATGAATGGATAATAGGATATATATAATATATGGCTGCGTCTTCCACCAAAATATTCGAAGGACAAAGAATTCGAAAATATTTATTTCAACTTTCGTCATACAAACGAGAAAAAGACACGTATGGAATCAAATTTGAACATGGCAAAAAAGAATGATGAATGATTTTTTAAAAGCAATCGGAGGTAAATTAAAAGCAGCAAAAAATGGTCAAAACATTGATGGCTGCAATTTAGAAAATTGAAATTTAGAAAAATTATAACCTATTTTTATTTTTCATAAATCAATGATTCACAGGAAAATTTTTGCAAAATATCTGTATTTTTCTCATTATTTTTTAAGACTTGCTGTTACGATGGAATGATGCTACTAAGGCGAGAAAAAAAAAAAACTGCATGTTAAATAATAAAAATAAGTTAAAAAAACATCCCTGTAATATGTTGACGTCTTTTTTAACCTATTTCGTGGTCTATGCAAACGTGTATCACACTTAACTTAAATTTTATTCTCATTGAAAATCGTGTTTGATTTGTGTGAGATTTATTCTAGTTCTTGTCCTACTGATGTTTTTTAGTTTTTTTTTTTTTTTTTTTTTCTTCTAATTCTTTCCTTGCATGAAATTTTTGTTTAAATGACGATCGAAGAATTATTTCAGAATCTAAACTAAAAAATCTACTGTTCTCTTTTATTCAAAAAAAAAAAGGTATTCATGTAATTTGTCTAGAATGATCATAGTTTGCGAGAAAGATATTTCTTGTTTGAGGATGATAAACCAATTGATCGATGATTTCCGGTAGTTTCCAGCGTGTTGTACTAACTAAACTAAATGCAATTGCGCATTCATTTCGAAAGAACACAGAAGCATAGGTAATTATCATGATGTATATTTTTCTCTCTTTTCTAGGAACTGTAGAAAGCCCCGGATAACAGAAGAAGACCTATTGAAAACATTTTCATTTCTAAAAAAATCGCAATTTTATCATTAAACATCATAACATTACTTCCTTCCGTTTCTCATAAGTTAAAACACGCAAATTTTAACAGAATCAAATCGAATAAAATAATCAATCAGCAAAAATGCCACACTCCTATTATATAAAAAACTAACTTTAAACTACCTTTTCTTCTTTTCTTCTTGCATTTTTCTTTTCCTTTTCTTTTGCATAGACAATAACTTATCATCATTTACCCTTGCATTCCTATCGTTTTCTCTGAAAAGCGAAAATTCTCTCTGATCTATTTATAGTTACATTGTCGCATAACTTATGACTCATTCCATTCATAAAGTTCAATTTTACTGCAAATGAAAAAAAAAAAAATGGTACTTATAAATTCTATAAAAACATTGTAACAAATGGTAGTGCAACTTTTTGCAGTATAATATAACATAATCAAAATAAGGTACACTAATATAATATTAATATAATACAATGTAATAATATATAATATAACAATAATAGACTATAATGTAGTATATGACAATATAATAATAATATATAATAACAATGCTAGTATAATATAACATAAAATATAATATAATAATTAATAATAACAATAAATAATGTTTTATTACATTTTGTGCTGACACCTTTTATCTACGAATCGATTTATCTCAACAATAAAGCAAAAAGACTTGCTTATGAATTATCCCTACAAAATACTAGGCTTATCCTATTGCAGCTGCTTCTGCTGCTTCTACATACAAATTTGGCTTATCAGCATTTATCAGTCAGTACTTCGGGCTTGTCGCAGTGATTTTTGTAGAGAAGTAAATCTTCATTTCGAAAACGCGAGTTTTTTTAGATGAGCTTGATTTGCTTTTAGTTCATATACTACAACCTATCTACGCACAACAGCATGCAACAATTCGTTTGACTCTATGTACAAACAAAGCAGGTGAAGCTTATGACTAACTGTTAAAAAAGTGTAGCGTGAAAAAGTGCGGTATAAGTTTTATGATTAAGGCATTGTTTCAGATAAACAATGCATCAAATTCAGTACCCAACTTCAAAATTTTTTCAATTGTTCGAAATTTATCCTCGTAGTTGAGGGATGATCAGCGAGGAAATGAAATATCTATTCCAAATATTGATCATTCTTCGCAGTGGAGCAACAATATGATTGTCAGAACTTTCAGGTGGTGGTCTTATAGAAAGTTTTTCCTATAATTCGAAAATCTATGACTGTTAATGAAAAAAGCTAATAGAATAGAACAGTTTGATAAGATGTGAAACAATCGTTTGTTTCCTTTTTGAGCCAAATAACTTTTTTTCGGAGTTTTTTCATTTATTTTTATCATTTTTGTTAGATCCGGTCAAATATTAGTGAATGCTCCATTATATTCACGGTACATAAATTAGTGAACGCTTCTGGGCTAGTTCATTTGATCTAAAGAAATATTCAATGAGATTTATTTGCTAACAATTTCATTCATTCATACAAACATTATTTACTGTCTCAACACATCACATGCCTTCTAAACATTGTACAGTGCAGATCAATAGCAAAACAGTGGTGAACAGTTTTAGATGTTGAAAATCGTACAATAAATAGGCTTCTTTAAGCACGGATACAACAAACCAAGGTCAGTGTAATCCAATTCTAAACATGGTCTCAATGAAATTTTTGAAATTTAGAGCAAAATGGTGAATGGTATTGGAAGGTATAGCAATGAATAGAAGAATAGCTGGTGTAGGATTTAGTGCGGTATAGTATACTTCAATGAAAATAACCATTTTCAACTATCCAAATAATTGCAGGGCTTCTACACCTTAATCTGTTATTATGTATATCAAAGATTGGTCAAAGGCTACTAAATTTAAAGTTTTAAAATTATTAAACTGATTAAATAAAATTCGAGGAATATCACTAGTGGTCGATTACAAAGGGATCAGAAATGCATGAAATCCGAGAAGGAAGATGGGATCACAGAGAGCACTAATTTGCTGCTGTTATTGCATTTTTCAACGTGCTAAAATTTTTCAGTTGTCATTATTATCCATTTCGAATAAGTGAATGTGCATTTGGGTTTGTGAAGAGAGAGGACATCTAAACTTTGATAAATCATAAATGAATTCCGCTAAAACAGAGACATCTTAAAGTGATCGAAGGATTGATTAATGCAAGAAAGAAATGATGAGCTAAAAGGCGCATATATAGATCATCAAATTTACCTTAAGTATGATATGAAATGCTAAGTCATTATCGGAAAAGTAAAATCACATTAAATCAGTTCTATCGTTCATGATCAAATGAAATTTAAATTGACCGAATTATAGAGTATGGTACGCAGGAAGGAATCAATAAATTTATAATAAAAATTGTTATACAAGAAATTTACACGAATTGAAGTAATCCCTTCTGTAAGGTACCGTTTATAAAGTATCGTCGTTCAATTTTTAGTTTGAAAATATTTTATTAACAGATTTATTTTGCTTATGCTGAAAATTTCGTGTGAAAAAATTTTGTTAGAGCAATATGTCAACAATTTAGACATGTAATCGAAATGGGAAAATAAATGAAAAATTGAATGATTCTGAATACAAACATATCTTAATGAATAATACAAAATGTTGTTGCACAAGAAATCTGCACGTGTATTGTTTTTGAAAAATTGAAATTTAAAATTTGTTTAATATTGTTGATGATATTATTATCACCACAATGCAGTAGATAAAACTTCCTGATTGCTTTGTAATCTCATAGACATATTGATTAGCCAACGACAACGAAACGTGAGGATTAGAATGTGAAAAGAAGAATTGCTGAAGAAACTTCATTTAGTTGTCCGAAAATGATACATATTACAAGTTTAAATGGAAAGTAGTGTTTATTTGTTTACTATTCACTTAAAAAATTGAAAAATTTGTGTTAATCAAAAAAAAGATTGAGAGAAAAAAATCATTCTTTTTTATGCAAAAAAAAAAAAAAAAAATCTTGCGATATAAAATAGTGAATAATTCTCCGATTGCATTGTTGACAGGAATTCTTTTATATTCAAATTCTCTCTTTTACAATCATACAATTAAGAAAAAGTTCGATGATACAAGAACAATCAAACACTACCGCTATAACTCAGAAACACAATGCTTTCTGTGGCTCTTCCATTTTAATGATTTCCATCTTCATGTGATTATCAATATGATCGCGAACCCATTTTGAGGCACTATCTATAATAGATGTATTTAATATATGGAAATAAATTACTGCTTAAAATTTGAAAAATGTTACCAAACAAGTAAGCTAAAATGAGAAAATGCTTGTTATCCTCGCTAATTCACCACTCAATTAAACTGTACGGTTCACCTTTCACAATAATCAATCCTTTCAGTTGAATAGATCTCCGGGTAGAATGTCCCTACTTGACATAGATCCGTAACGTCTTTCAGAACCTTCAGAATGACCGCTTCAATATTTTATACTCTACAACAAAAACTTCTCTATATCATTACAGTTACAATTACAATTTTTCAACTTCAACAATTCATTGGTGATTTCATAGGTAAGTCGAAAGAAATCTGTATTTCTACTTATCCTATTGTCACTTACTGGTAAGTAACAGATAGCTAGCTTTAAGCTTTTCAACAGCTCAATTACCGTCACAGAAGAAAAAGCTTTATATCAGCAGTGAAGCTACCACAGGAAGGCAATCCTTGCGCCACCCTGTGTATACCTGCATTACTTTTATCATTTAGAAACTGCTCCAACTTACAGCACTTCCTTCACTTTTTTCCCAACGCGACTGATTACAGATGTGAAGAAGCTCTTTGACATAATTATCATAAAATTTTGTTAGTTGTTAGCCATCGAAAAGGGAATGATTCACTCAGATAGATGAATGGATCGGTTCATTTCTGTTTCATGAATTAGCTATCTGTAATACGACAATTTCTTACCTTATCAGCAGGAAATTCTTCCAGTTCATTGTATTTAATTGGTTTTTATGCCATTATTTTTTGCTGTAAATGAGACAAAGAAATTGTTAGAATATAGTAAGACAAAAAGACCAATCTGCAATACCAAAAGGGAAACGCGAGCAACGGATATGTTTTTACGTTGTGTAACCACACAAGCGTTAACGTGATCGATAAACGTCAAAATGATGAGAGAGGATGTTAAAGAGAATGTCAACATTAACTGTTATGGAAAGATGAGTGAAGCAATATGATAAGGTAAACTCGTGCAAATTAATGAACATTTTAACCTAAAAGATGGAAGAAGCAAAAAAGAGGAAAAAGAGAAAAAGAAAAAAGACAGAAATGAAAAATAAAACATACATTTTACAATTATAGATAATATGGCAAATTATAAAAAAGAACTCATCCAGAAAATCAGTCAAGAAAATAGGAAATCATCAGGAAATTTTTTCTCTCATTCTTCCATACTTACACCTTCATTTTGTTTTACTTTTCAAGCAGTATATTTAATCAGAAATATCCATGTACACACATATAATCGCTGATTGTAGAATTACGTCATACAATCATCTAAAAATAAGATAATTAATTAATTATAAGTTCACTACTTTTCATCACTCCGAAAACGAACAATGTAGCTGTTCACTTTCTCAAAACAACAACAAGCCTAAAACAATTCAAAATAATCGAATAAAAGATTTTACGCAGGGTCGTTGAAAAAAGAAGCCGTAACAGAATTACGATACTTGAATCACTTTGTAATTTGGAATTCGTAGCAGTTTTTAGTTATAAAGATTTATAAAAGTAGATTTAAATGCTTGTTTTATTTTATTTTTTAGTAATAGTTTTACATCACAAGCATATTCTTACAATTGGATCAATTTTATTGCAACTTATAAAATCATTGCTTTCATCATTAACACGCATGTTGTAAAATTTCATGTTTTTTTTTTTGTTCTTGTGATGTTACGTCCATTTTCATTGCTACTTATTATTACATAGAAACAATTGATCACTTAAGATGGGTCAGTGATAATTTTTACTAATGTAAACTGAAAGTAAAAAAAATCAATGAAATGATTTAAAAATTAGCGTAGCATTTTTATTGTCAACTGTTTTCCTGAGAAATAAGAAAAGAAAAAATATTTCAGGAGCTGTAATATATGATTTGGTTAAAATTATTCTGCAATTTTGTAAAAATGTTCAATATACAAAGAAATTTGAAATCTGCAAATATTATTTGATAGCAATAGCACAATCATACAGACAGGTAAGTCAAATACTACTTTTTGGACATATATATGATAGATCCGTTTTATATCTGCTCGTTTTGAGTCTAAAATTAAATATCGTTTAACAAATTTATTGATTACACACTATTTCTCTATTTTAAACTGATAATTATATTATCATTGCCAAGTTCAACCTGAAAATGTATTAATTATATTAATCAAAAATTTAGACTTGCCACCTCAGGATGATACTTTTAGGAAGTGTTGCAGGTCAGCTTGTCTTCTTCCAGCAAATATGCGTGATTTTGAACGACCAATATTCTTCATCCCTGTGATATTCCTCAGTTATTGGCAAATTAATTCTAAATCATTAACTGTGCAACCAACCAGGAAGCAAATTCAGAACATCAATAGAAGACAGTAAGGAAGACGTTATAATATGCAAATTTTTCGACTCACATTTATATTTCATAACTGGGATGAAAGTGTTATTGTTTGGTAATAGTGAAAGTTGGATAGGTGGTGGTCCTATATTTTTGTTCATATATGCTTACGGATTGTTTTACAGTGAAATGGGAGGAAGTTATTAGCTTGAAAAGAAAAGGATTTATTATGTACCGTATTTTGTATCACTTGAAAATGATTCGAATGCATTTTTAGGAATGTCAGCTAAACAACAGACTGGAAATGTCGCAGCTCCTGTGGACAATGGTGAAGTAGTGCGCATTATGGACGGTAAAAATTATTTAATTTAACTTCTTTTCATGTCAAATAAAAATGAAATAAATGCTTCAACTATTTCAAAAATAGTTTTGATATTTTAACAAAAATATAGCATTTATCTATTATATATTGTTAACTGAAATAAGCTATGGTACACATAAAAAAACAAGAAATGGAGATGATCCCAAACCTTTCATCTGAAATTTTAAAATGTCATATATCTTCTTTATAGATGATGCACGTATAGTACGTCCCAAGCCACGTGCTTCTAACGCAACGAAAAAGAACCGAATCAACAACAATAACTCGAATAATACTGGTTTGTCTTTTCACTTTCAATTTTATTATTTATATGCACATGTAATATTACGTGTGACAAATTGAAACATGCAAGACACGTGTAATTAATTGAACAATGAAAGAATTAGGTTGAAAAATGTACAAGACTAACCGTTAGTGATGATTAGATAGCAACTGGTTATTTACGTATTGCAAAGTGTGAAAATGATTTAAGAGTCTAGGTAATAATAATAATAATAATAATAATAGATAAGAATGGCAACTTTGTACATTTCTTGATGGCCATTTTTTGGTAAATGTTTAGGTGTTCCGCTAGTTAGCAACGTTGAGGATACTCCACCGAATGTCGTCTTCGATCAACCGAACCGTCCTCACGTGCAACAACCGTATATGGCTCATAGTTGTCGTCCGAATATGACACATCCAGTAGTGATCGGCAGTGTGAACCGCCCTATGTGTACAAAGAATTTCCTATTATTCTATAAGTTGATGAAAAAATAAATTTTATAAAATTGTCAACTTTCAGATATGCCAGTGCATAATCCGCCACCTTCAACATGTTGGTGCAACGGAATTTCTGACGATATACGAGCGATTAAGGAGACACTAAATTCGGTTTCCAATGGGATTCACTTAATTCTTCAAAAAGTTCACATGGATCAAATGAACAATGCACAAATGATGTCGCAAATTTTGCGAACCGTTGAAATGGTTGCGGACACTGTTAATAATATGTCATTTGTGCAGTTTCAAGGTTCAATTTTGAGCATAAGACTTTTTCTTTCTTCTGAATAAATAAAAGAGAAAAAGTGAACGAAATTAGGTTTAAAATTAATTGAATGAACAAATATTCATAACTGATGAAGCGTCAATGATTTTCACTTGGATTTGCTTACTTTCAAAGTCACACTGCTCCGTTGCTTTTTCATCAGATTTAGCATCCTAGATTGCATCTTAGTTTCACTTCTTCCAATTTTCATTCACGAATGTATCGTTCCTGTTTTCATGAATTAATCCTCCTCAATCTCTGTTGTTAAGCAAATGATAATTCCTCAAACTGATTTTTTTATTATTGAAAACCAATCAATTTTAGCATACGATCAGTATTATGATGGATCTGGCGTGGGAAATCCTACCGGAAGTCCGGATGGAACGGTTCCTCCAGAGACGTGTTATGAGCAAACTGATGAGCAGAACACGCCGATTGAGCATGTAATGAATAACAGTTCACGTTCCTATCCTTGAATAGCAGGACATTTCAGTGTAAAAGTGATATATCAACAATTTCTTTTTTCTTTTTTTTTTTATTGCTAACCTGATGTTCAGTTTTTGTGTTTTCTAATAAATTTTTTTTTCCTTTTTTTTTTTTTTTTTTAACAAAATTGCAATTGTATTTTTACAAGATGGCAAGTCTGTATATCCCACATTTCTCTCCAGTAATCAGTTTCATCATTACAAATGCCTTAAAAGTTGAATCAAAACACTCTTGACATCCGGAATTATACTAAATGCTGCTTATGGAACATGATGAAAAACCGAATGCTAAGTCTAAATTTAGAGGTGCAGTATTTCAAAATACAATTGTAGTTACTACCAGCTAATTTCACATTTTATATTCTCTCTAAATTTTGACAATCAAGATATGAAAACGGAAAAAAGATCGTTGCTTAGGGGTCAACGCTCAACATTTACAACAATACAAGTATATAACATACATAGAACGATAGGAAATTATCGTTATGAATTAATTACATAGATTGGAATGATTCTAAAATATTTTTATCCCTCATATAATATATACAGCAAACATATCAAAAAACTATCACCTGACATCCCTTCCAAGAGAATTTGAAATGTGATGAAAGACTCTATTCGATGATGTCACATCCATCATCAAGGAAAAAACTGGAGATAAAGAAACTCAAAAGTTTCAGTTGATGAAAAATAAAAGCAAATTATTACACTGAAGATTAATTTAAGTAAATATGCTGCATAAAATAGATAAGGTCGGTAAATTTATTATTCCTATAATGTCATCCAATTCTAGAACAGTAAAAGCAACCATTTTTACTGTCAACAGATAAAAAATCTACATTAGAACGAGTCGATAGTGGTGACAATTTTGTATATTCACATTGAAGAAAATTATTCTGAATTTAGAGCTAGAAAGTTTTCAGTTAACGTTTGAATAACATTAAAGTGATTTAAATTAAGGATTATTACACTTCACATTACCTTACTTTCACCACAAAGCTTGGTATTATTCTATTTGTTATATCATAATTTGAAATATAAACTAATGCTTAATTATTGCTTTTTATAAAGAAAAGCAAACTATTACAATAAGTAAACTGAAGTGATATTTATAGGTAGTGTAGAAATAACTTACATGAATGAAATATTGTTTTAAACAGTCGAACATAATTGATGATTTAATTAATATCGGACAAATAATCAGCAATTTAGTGATTACTACAAATAAATTCTTGATGGGTAACAGAGGATTTAATTACTGCCGAACGAATCATCATTAATTCTGCACTAATCATCTTCCAGTTAGTGATAACAGACTGTTTAATCAACACTGGACTTAATGGTAACAAACGAATTAACATCGGAGACATAATCTGCTAGTCAGTGAGATGATTTTCTTTGTGCCAGACAAATGACATGTTAATTAATGATTTTTTAATGTGTATTGAATGCAAGATAAATCGTTTGTATAGGTGACAATAAAACAAATGATCTCATATCGGACGAATCATGTGTTAGCAAATGGTGACAGATGATTTACATAGTACTTTATATATTATCTGTGATTCAGTGATAACGGTTCGTTTTTATAATACCGTAAAAAACGTTTGTCAGTGGATGATAACTGGCAGAATGCAGTCAACGTGACAAAATTTTGTGAATTAGATTTCAGTTAAAGCTGAAGAGATTGGAACTATCTGTTTACATTCAGTTGTCATTATTATCCATTTCGAATAAGTGAATGTGCATTTGGGTTTGTGAAGAGAGAGGACATCTAAACTTTGATAAATCATAAATGAATTCCGCTAAAACAGAGACATCTTAAAGTGATCGAAGGATTGATTAATGCAAGAAAGAAATGATGAGCTAAAAGGCGCATATATAGATCATCAAATTTACCTTAAGTATGATATGAAATGCTAAGTCATTATCGGAAAAGTAAAATCACATTAAATCAGTTCTATCGTTCATGATCAAATGAAATTTAAATTGACCGAATTATAGAGTATGGTACGCAGGAAGGAATCAATAAATTTATAATAAAAATTGTTATACAAGAAATTTACACGAATTGAAGTAATCCCTTCTGTAAGGTACCGTTTATAAAGTATCGTCGTTCAATTTTTAGTTTGAAAATATTTTATTAACAGATTTATTTTGCTTATGCTGAAAATTTCGTGTGAAAAAATTTTGTTAGAGCAATATGTCAACAATTTAGACATGTAATCGAAATGGGAAAATAAATGAAAAATTGAATGATTCTGAATACAAACATATCTTAATGAATAATACAAAATGTTGTTGCACAAGAAATCTGCACGTGTATTGTTTTTGAAAAATTGAAATTTAAAATTTGTTTAATATTGTTGATGATATTATTATCACCACAATGCAGTAGATAAAACTTCCTGATTGCTTTGTAATCTCATAGACATATTGATTAGCCAACGACAACGAAACGTGAGGATTAGAATGTGAAAAGAAGAATTGCTGAAGAAACTTCATTTAGTTGTCCGAAAATGATACATATTACAAGTTTAAATGGAAAGTAGTGTTTATTTGTTTACTATTCACTTAAAAAATTGAAAAATTTGTGTTAATCAAAAAAAAAAGATTGAGAGAAAAAAATCATTCTTTTTTATGCAAAGGATTGCGGTCACAAAGTGTATAATATGGAGAGCAAATATGCTTTCTCAGTAATGATTAATGGAATAATGCATATTAGAAAAGTAAAATAGAAGCAGTGCTGCATAAGTTGTATGGTTAGGGCATTGTTTCGCATCAATATCAGTAGCTAATCTGCAAGAATTTTTTAGTTGTCTGACAATTTATCCTTGTAGTTTGTAGTAGCAGAAAGATCAGTGCGGAGATAAGTATTTGTATTGCAAAAATGAACCTATCCCAAATACCAATCATTCTTCGAACGTTTTTCCTGTCATCTGGAAATCTGTGACAATTAATAAACATTTTGTTAGCTTCTTTTTCTGTGTATGAACATTGCAACTACAAAATGCATAAACATAGGGAGATCATATTAGAGCAAATGATATCTTTTCTGGGTAATAATCGATAGGACAAGAAGTATGAGCATTTTCTTATAGGTTAAGTAATATATTTATTGTCATATTGTCGTTTGTCTTAGACATAAGAAAACAGTTTTTCTCGAGTATTATACAGTGAAAAAAATAATATGCATATTTTTTGCTTTAATTAATGCAAATTTCCGTCATTTTTCTTCTTAAGCTACTTTTTTTTTGAATGGGATTAGATAAGAAAGAATGTACGTGTAGTAAGTATTATTGCCAGTAATTGAATTACAATATAAAATTTTGCGCTATTTGTTTTTTTTTTTTTTTTAATGAATATTTGGTAAATTTGGTAATTTTACAGAATGAGCGCAATCAGGGAAGGAAACACATTATATTGATGTTTTGGACTTCCTGCAAAGGGAGCCTGTAATGCTTAGTGCATTACAGGAGACAGTTGAAGTAAATACTTTACCTTTTTTTTTTCTTCTTTCCGCTTATCATAAATTGATTGCGGCATGAAGTAAGGATTGTAAAAAGGCTCCAAATTTCAGATAAGAGCGTAAAATATATTATTTTCAGTTTAAAACATCGCTCATAACCCGCTTGGAGAAGGCGGAGAGGAGGCTAGAGGAGTTCGAAGGGCGAAATGCCCATGAAGAAATGGAAGAGGGACCGGTACCTCAGGAGCGGGAATTTAATGAGGGGGAGGCAGAGTGTGCACTTTTGCCTGAAAACGATAATGAGGCAGAGAACTGGCCATCTGGGGCAGAGTGGGCCTTTCTGCCTGATGATGATGAAGAAAAGCCAATGGAGATGAGTAGCATTCGAGAACCGGTAAAAAGAATTCGTGAATTCGTCCTGTAAGTTTTAATTTTTAGAGCAAAGTGTGATCAAACTTTTTAACAGTCTGCACTAAATGAAATGGTTAAACATTCATTACACTAAATTTATTCTATTTCAGAAGATCGAGGACGATCAAAATTTCGGTTCTTGCCACGCAGAAATTTAGGATTATTTACAGTTTGTTAACTTTGAATTGCATGCTTTTTATGGTTTCATTAACTGTTTTCTTCATTAATCTTACTTATTATTAATGGGTTATGTTTATAATTATTTGAAGTTTTGATTTTTCCTTTTTTTTTTTAAGTTTCATTTTTACTCACTTAACACTTGATGCTTGCTATATGTTAACTCTACTCACCCCAATAACAGTATTTTTCACTTGTTATTAATGCATTATTATTAATGGATTTAACTGCATGCTTTTTTATTAGTCTCACTTACTATTAATGAATAATATTTTTGATTATTTACACCTTTCTTTGTTAATTTTGTTTTGCATGGGTTTTTGGTTCCTTTTACTTAATGCATGCTTCTCATTAACCTTTCTCACCACAACAACAGTAGCTTGTTGTTGATGTATGCCTCTTTTCTATTTTACTAACTACATACTTTTTTTTGTTAATTTTACTTATTATTAACGGATTATGTTTCTAATTACTTGAAGTTTCGATTTTTTTTATTTCATTTTATTTATGCTTACATTTTTATTCCTACCTACTGCATGCATTCTATTAACTTTACAAATCGAAAGCTGTTAGTTAACGGAAATCTTACCACACTATTATCATTTGGAACCAAAAGATTTGTTTGACTTCAAGTCCATTTCTTGTAGTCCTTTTCATCATTTGGTAAAAGGTATTTTTACTCATTGTTGTATCAAATATCTATAAGTTGCAATGGCTCACAAATGGTACTCATAAGTGACTGGATGCACAAATTATTATACTATTTTGAGATATAATTTATTCTTTAAACATTTTAAAAGATTTGACTAATCGGACAACTCTCGTTGTTCTTTTCATTAAGTCAAAGGTCATTCATTCATGTAATTTGCACATTCTTGTTGGTTACTCAAGCTTTCAGAGGCTCACACTGCACTGTATTGCTATCAATTTGGCAGTCAGAATTCACTTCTTTAATACAACGGCCGAGAAAAGATTCTTTTAAACTGTGATCTCAAGCAATCTTATGGTGAAAAAGGGCGGATAGTTCTGTGATCGTGTTAAATTAAGTAATCTTTGCTATCCTTTTGACATCTTAATGCACCTAAAATAGTACTTATTCTCGAACTAGCGAATATACTTCAGGTTTTTGAATTACATTCAAGTAATAAGCAATTGATGCTTGCCAAAATTTAACTTTGAATTTACACGTTTATCAATCTAATTAATTAAGTAATTCAATTAAGTAATTAAACGTTAAAGTATACAGTTAAATTAGTGCGGAAGAAGCTAATTAATTTAAGAAGAGAGTTTTCAGTGTTTTATTATAGTTGTCACAAGCATGCGGAATTAATGAAGCTATTAATAGTTGTTGTATTCATCATTAAGTCACTATGTTTAATTTGCCTACTAGCAAAATAATCAACTACTAAACCATCAAAATGCACCAATCAATATATTAGCCATTAAAAAATTAAGTTTAGATAATTTCAAAAATCATATTGAAACTTGTTGTATACAAACTAGACAAAAAAAAAAAAACATTTTTGTTTAGATCTTACTGTTTTGATGTAATTTTCTTCCTTAAAATGCAATATTTGGCTTTTTGTATTTGTATTGAATTTAATTGACTACCCGGCTCACCATTTGATTCAGCAATATATTTAAAAAAAATTACTTTTGCTTAAAAATTAATAAGTACACGATAACTCAAATTTAAAAATGTGAAAGAATTTATGATTATTCTCTTCTTTGAATTATTAAATTAATCATCATAATTCCACTTTTTTTAATCGATAAATTAAAAAAAGAACAGATGATTCCGTTCATGCGGATGAATTTAAATGACAAATAATTTTCTTCATCTTTTAACTTTTTTTTGCAGAAAATTCAATAGAAACTTTTTCAATTGAATTACATAACTTGTTCAATGTGAAGAGACTTCAGAATGAAAATTTTTTTCGTTTCAGAATCTGAGTTTCGTAAAACAATTTTAAAAAAGCTTTGCGTTTGTTCGTAATAAAAATTAAAGTGAAACGAGTTCATATGATATTAACTGGTCAGCATGGATATCAAATGGTCATTCCATTAGTAGCACTTTCACAGCGCTAAGAGCTATAGTTAGAGCAAGAATGTGAAAGGATGAAAACGAATTTAATTTCAATCATTATACCAAACTGTAATCATTTTCACTTGTCCCTTAGCTTTTGCTTTTTTTTCTTTAAGTAAATAATATTTATTACCTCTGTTTATTATCAGATAAAATTAATTCTTGTAGCAACTTTTAAATTTAAATTAATTTCTTTTACTAGCAAAATACTCATTTATACGTGACTGTACATTAGTTATTGACACTTACAATGCATGAAGAAAGTGAAATACGTGTCAACTTGTTTAAACAGCCTCAATTAACCTTAGTTTATTTTAAAAAGTAACACTATTAATCTGTAATGAAGATAACAACTGATAGAAGCGAATGCTGCAAAAGTCATACTTTTCCCTCCTACATAAGAAGAGAAAAGACTGAGAAACAAACGAACTAATCTAATTAAATCATTTGCAATCTTAGAAGCAATTGTTGAATATTTCATTCTTTAAGATTCGCATTGTCATCTGCTACCAGAAAAAAAATTATCCAAAGAAATATTATCTAATTTCTCATTCTCCCTATTTCGAACAATAATATTTGACAGACACCACAATCTTATGAAATTTTGTGGTAGTTTTCCGCAACAAGAAACACAGATCTTTGGTTCACTGATTGTTTATTTGCGATAATAATTTCATTCATGCTGAAAATTAGTGTCCCAAAGCTGAACAATCTTTTTTTTTTGGAAAAATCTGAATGAGTTTCAAATCAAACTTTTACAGACCTTGTTAGTTTTCCTAACTATTACGTACGGAAAATTTCAAGTTTAATCAGAATTATTTTTAGTTGGGTAATTAAGATTAACTCTACTAATCACAATATTGCCGCAAATAATTTGCCTGAATTTGTATATCGTGAAATTACACTTCACATTAACTAAGCACACCATTGATTTTCCCGTAAATATGATGTACATCCCTCAATTTTTGTAGTGACAAAATCAAAATGTGAAACCTTCATCAGATTTACCAGTATTACTTAAAAAACTGTTTCTTGTTTCTGCATCGAAAGAAATAAAAAAAAACAAAAAAAAAAAAACGAGAAATTTGTAACAGTAATTAATGAAATTTCAACCAGTAATTATAGCAATAAACGAAACTCATAGCGGTCCTTTAAGCAGGGCTTCTTGAAATCCAGAATCTCTGGATTCCGGATTAAAAAACCTTTGAAAAATGTATATATTATTTCCAAATTTTGAATAACAATGGTGATTTTGGATTAGCAACTACAACAAATTAGCATTCACGCAGTATTCAGTAAACAGTTGTTGTAGTATCAAACTTAAGATTAATGTAAATATGGAACAAGACGAGTGTGCTACAAAAACATCTAATGGATAAATTTCTAACTTCTATCTGTCTATACCGATATCAGAAAATCAAAAAAAAAAAAATGCACTACAACGCGGGTATTACTAGTGAATGGATTTACGATAAGACAAGGCGCTAAATCATGGTGTATGACTTTCGCTGATTACTGGAGGGTTTAGAGCGGAAATGTTCACGATTGCGCAGCGTTTCGCAACAAACCTGAAGTACTGCTTCAACATTTCCCATTGCCGATGTAGAAGCTTTTTTACTGTCCACTGTTACCACTTTTTTGTTGGTAGTAATCATTAAAGTAATAAACATTAAAGGATTCTGATGATATCTGAACTATCTCTTTGGTAAAAAACTGAACAGATTAAAGTTCTTTTATATTTCAAACCATAAATCACTTCAAGTAAATTGGTATAAGAAACATGCATCATCATTAGGCAATAATGCTATGGCATTTGTACGATAATTAGACAATTTTGGTTCATCAAAAGATTTCTTAGGTTTTTTTTTTTTTTTCTTGACCATTTCTCCTCTCGATATAGTTGCTAAGATAAGTTATCAATAAACGAAATAAAACTGATGAACCAAAAATTAAAAATTGTAATCAAAATCACCGTAATCATCATTGAAAAAAAGAGCATTAATAATAAAATAACATGAAATTAAGTTAAAAAAAAAAAAAGCAAAAGAGCACTATTTGAAAGTACATAATCGGCTAATTTCACATAAAGACTGTTTTGACATTTAAGGAAAAAATCACAAAAACAAAACTTAAATGCTGTAAAGAGGAACAGAATAATATTTAATTTTCAATATATATTCCTATCGTTAATTCTTTTTTATTTTGTTAAACTGATTTATTAAAAAAAAAAAAAAAAAAAAAAAGGCTTTGAAAGTTTTGAGGATTTGTGAGAAAAAAATGAAGAAATTTAAAAGGAAAAGTAGAAATAAGAAAAAAAAAAAACTGCATAAACTGCATTTTTCATAAAATATGCAATTAAAATATTTTAGGGAAAATAAAATTTCATATGATAATTAACAGGAATAAAACATTCATTACCAATCAAATTGAAGATTTAATAAAAACTTTTGAAAAAAAAAAAATGTTCCACTGAGAGAACAATGGTAAAATGGAATAACTCTAAGCTAACTACTGAAGACGACGATAAAAGTTAACTATAAATCATATATATATGTATAATATCATACAAATTTGATTACTCCTTTATCTTTCGACATACTATCTATCCCAATTTCTTCGTCGAGTCTTGCGCTATGTATTCCTAAAAATATCCCATTAATTAAATATTTCAGTTGAAAGAAAAATCATGAAGTCATTTTTTGCTTATGGTGCTTTTTAGAATCGAACAATATCAAATGAGACTAGTGAATCGGAAAAAATAAACAAATTTTTGAATATTTAATGCTGTAGGTTTTTTTTTTTTTTTTCAACAAATGTGTGATATAATGTATAAATCTTTCAATGCCATATAAACTAATTAGTGTTCTAGGGATAAATGCATGCTAGCAATCACTTATAATTTCGGTGAATTAAGAATTGCTTGTTGACAGTTCAATTATTTGTTAAAAAGTTTTTAGATGGAAAATGAAAAAACATAACAGGCACATCAATATTTCAAATAACAACTAATTTCAAAGAAAGAAAAAGGGTGCACAGTTTCAATTCATTAAAGAAAAAAGGAAATAAACTGCGTTTTGCTAATGCTCTAGACATGGATATTCATGCATTTCATCAGATAAATTAATTCTATGATACTTTGAGGTATTAACTGAAGTATCTTAGCAACAATTTACAATTTTTATGTTTCGAAAATAATATAGTATGCGATACAAAAAATGGACAATTTTCTTTTTTGATCAATTTAAAGAATGAAATTTAACAATTTTGGGAGTTAAGAATTTCGAAAATTTTTAAAAAATTTTTTAAATTGAATATATATTTCAGAAAATGAAAATAATTAAAATTTAATGAGTCAGAAATAAAACGTGAATTTTTTATTTTCAGGAAGAAAAAACAGATGAGAAGACGAACTTCGTTGTTCCTCTCTTTCACGTGCAAGTTGCAGTCTACGATAACTGGCACGAAGACGTTCGGCAGTAGAAGTTGTCAACGAAGTCGGATGAGTAGTACATGCATTCGTTTGGAATGCTCGAATAACACGCATCTGCAAGACTGTGTTATTCAATTTGCAAGTGCATTAAATAAACCAAACATGCTATTATAACAAATGATACTAAATGATTACAAACTATACCATATCATATTGATTGATATCATACACAAACATGATGGAAAAGCACTGCTTCTATATGAACAAATTTTAAATTACATGTGTCGTGCAATGATTTATCTCATTATTAAGCACGGTGAATGATGACATATTTTGCTAAATGGACAAGTCCGATCTTTTCCTCTCTACAATTCTTCCTATCTTGATATGAAATCATTCCATTTATGATTTTTAATACCGTCAATTATTGTAGCATAAAAATTAGTATAAAATTGCTTGCCATAAATCAATTATTTTCTTAACGAAAGGAAAATATTTTTTGCAAATTTTTGTAGTTTGGAAATTTAAAGAAATTCAAATATCTAAGATCTAGCTTAGTTCTAATGATAAATCATATAATAACAATCTAAAGAACTGAAAATGTAGGAATTAAAGATTAAATGCTGTAAGTAAAGGTTAATTCATAATTAAGTCAAACAAATTCAAATAATAACAAGACGAACAGAAAAAATAATTTATAATAGTTCACTGTAAACATCATCACAAATCGCATTCCTGATTATATTAGTTAGATTGACCGAAAAGTGACCGGAAAAAAGAGGAAACATACATGCGTGAAAAAAATAACGATAAAATGGACCTGTGTTTGCAATCGTGTCAATCCAAGAAGCCATAACATTTGACCAGGCCTTTTTTGATCTTCCTTTGACATGCCTTTTACAAGGCCATCACTTGTGTCATATTCACCGGTAACTAAGACAGATGTTGGTTGAACTTCACCACCACCAAATGAAAAGAATTTGGGGAGCACTTTACTTGGTATTGTTGCTAGGATCTATAAATTATAGTCAACTATTACAATTAAAAAATTCAGAGCTATTTATTTAAGTCAAACAGAATCCAGAAAAACATGGCATCATGTTTAACTTTTTTATATAAAATCTAGTTATTTATGTAAATTATTCATCTAAAAAAGAGAGAGAGAAAAAAAAAAAAAAAAAAAAAAGAACCTGGCCCCATAAAAGAGTACCAAAGGCACAGGCTACACAAACTGCCCAATGAATTTCATTCAAAGGAGCTGTTGATACCCATGCACCACCGAACTGTACAATTAACACCTGGGAAATCAATGTCAAAATCCAAATAATACAAAATAACGGATTCGTAAAAAGGCCCTGGAATATAGAAAATTTGAAATTTTTGAAAATGTAAAATGTACATGGAATAATTCTAGTGAATAAGTTGCATAATAACTTTTAAGGATATGAAATGATCTCTGAAAAAGGAACAAGAAAATGATGAAGTAGTGAAATAAAATTTAAATTCAAAATTTCTTATAGAATTTATATATATACAAATGAACAGTGCATAATAATAATTAATGCAAACCTTGAAAACATTTCGCTCTCCATGAACCTTCCGTGAATTAATTTCATTCATTAGAGTCATTAACACAAAAGCATTGAAAATTATGGTGAAGTGTTTCGAAGGTGGTGAATTAAGCGGTGCCCAACGTCCGTTTTCCAAATCTGGGATAAATTTATCGCCTGGAAAGAAAAAAGTTGAAATTTGTCTGATATATCAAGAAAAGCTGTCACCCAATTAAAACAATAATCTAACTTCATGACACTTTAAAGAAATTTTAACAGATAATTTAAATTTAAAGAAAAAATTACTGTTTTAATTAATCAATGAACATTATTTATCAAATTTAAACTAAATCATTGTCATGTTAAAAGTTTCAATTACTTACCCCAGAAAAGAATGGCAAACAAAACGGTTAGTTGAAAAGTTGCATGACCAACGATATTCTTAACCATTGTTCGTGAAATAAGTGATTTTGTACGTCCGTAAGGCTTACGTTCCAGCAAATTTTCTGTTGGTAATTCAGTTGCTAATGCCAACGAAGCTAACGTATCCATAATCAAATTTACCCATAACATTTGCACAGCCTAAAAAATCACATACATCAACTATTAGTAGTCATTTATGTATCAAAAATGGTGAAAATTTATAAATTTGAAAATAATTCTTATTCAATTTAAT